CCACCTCGCCCCCTCCTGCTGCTCCGCCTCTTCCGCCTCCTCCACTGCTGCCTCCTAGCTGCCTCCTCTGCGTCTTCCAACTCCTCCCCTCCGCCTCCCGCCCGACTGCCTAACTGCAATTTTGCAGCCCCCCCTTAAAACTTCCGCCCAAGGCAAACGCTTTGCTTGCCTCGCGGCAGATGTATCGCCAAGTTATTTACGTGTCCTATTTGGCTACTTCTGCATACCTCTGATCATTTGTAATGGGAAATTGTGAACTTACTTGAAAACCTAATAAAAATGATTGAACTGTTATTTTAACTTTACTTTAATTGCTATTACATAGGGGGGACTTACAAGCCCCCCATGTGATAGCAGATTGGTGGTGACAGGTCCTCTTTAAGTTGACCTGGCCTTGGGTCAGTAGAAAGAGTAAATCCGACGACGGGGGCGACGGCGGCAACGACAATAATAATGTTGCTGATGATCATTATGATGGTGATAATAATGATGAAGACGATAATAATGAATATGATGATTGATGATGATTGATGATGAATATGATGATGATTATGATGCTGATGATGAATATGATGATGATGGTGATGATGATGAAGATGATGATGATGGTGATAATAATGATGAAGACGATAATAATGAATATGATGATTGATGATGATTGATGATGAATATGATGATGATTATGATGCTGATGATGAATATGATGATGATGGTGATGATGATGATGGTGATAATAATGATGAAGACGATAATAATGAATATGATGATTGATGATGAATATGATGATGATTGATGATGAATATGATGATGATTGATGATGAATAGGATGATGATGATGATGATGATTGATGATGAATATGATGATGATGGTGATGCTGCTGCTGATGATGATTGATGATGAATATGATGATGATGGTGATGAAGACGATAATAATAATGAATATGATGATGATGAATATGATGATTGATGATGTATATGATGATGATGGTGATGAAGACGATAATAATAATGAATATGATGATGATGAATTTGATGATGAATATGATGATGATGGTGATGAAGACGATAATAATAATGAATATGATGATTGATGATGAATATGCTGCTGATGATGATTATGATGAAGATGATGATTGATGATTATGATGGGGATAATAATAATGAATATGATGATGATGGTGATGATTATGCTGATGAAGATGATGATTGTGATGGTGATAATAATAATGAATATGATGATGATGATAATATTGATAATAATAATAATGATGATGATATCAAAATAATGATCTTCTCTATGTTAAGCATTATGAGCAATCCCAGCCATTTAATTACGCCATGGATATCCTGAATATGGTCTTCACAGGACTGTTTACAGTGGAGATGGTGCTGAAACTCATCGCATTCAGGCCGAAGGTCAGTCCAGTATCTTTCCACGTCCCCCCGTCTCCATAATGATACCCTGTGCACCTTTCTATTACTTTACATCTCCATCATTGTAGTTCAGTGTTCATTCTTCACTGTAGAGGTTTCATACTCCTTCCCTGAAACGGCTGATTTCAGTAAAAATTCATT